TTTGGATATATGGCCCTAATTAGCAAGGTAAAATCTTTGAAATGTACAGACTATAGAGCATTGAAGAAATCATCAGAGCACCCAAAAAAATGAAAAAAAGTGGGAACTTGAACATAATTCGAAAGGCGCTACATTTAAAGATCAATGTACAACAACAGCGAAACTCGCCAATAAATGGGTATTCATATCCATAACAAGCACAACAGGAACTAAATAAATACGCACAGTAAGTAAAGGTACAACCCCCAAAACGTAGTGTGCAACACAGGTATACAAGCCAGAAGAGCAAATCACGCATGGAAATAAAAACTAATAATAATCAAGGTACAACCAAATGTGAGCGTAGAACTCTGGAACCATACAAATGGGCAAAATTAGCTGAGGTAAATCTTTAAACTTTGGCATACAAGCACCGAAGAAGACGATGAAATAGAAGGCGGCCGTACATGTTGAATGAAAGCAGATGAAGCATTTGAGACTAGGGTTTTAGTGTTGAAGTGCTATATATAGTAATGGCGGTGAAGGATCGATCCAGTTGCTAGGGTTTTTTGAGTTCGACTTAGACTACCAGGACGGAGTAAATTTCATTAATGCCCACGAATACCTCGGTTACATAACTTTATAAAATATTTCAGTTAGACCATTACGTTAATTTGGATTTTTTTATTTTTTTTAACTCCAGGATATTTGGTCTGAAATGAACCCCAAAGTAAAATATTTTATAAGTTCAATGATGAATCAATAATAAATTAAAGTTTTGTGACAAAAATGACACTAAAGTGCAAAGATTAATATTCATTAAAAAAAAAATTAAACATTGTATAAATAATTTCCCCCAAATGTGACTACTTCAAAGTACATTTTGTTTTCTCCTAGCCGGCTTGTATTTTCAACGTGAAAAAAATCTTAGAGTGTCTAAGATTGGACCAGGAGGGCCTCTTAACGCCTTCGGGTCCATGAAAGGAATAGTGTATCCGTTGGCACATTTTTCAGTAATTAATACACCTTGTAATCAATGTGACAATTTTTTCATCCTATTTTTTTTATTGGCATGCTTTAAAATGAGGGGTAAATATTTTGTCACAATCTTGGATTTGATCTTTTTCTTGTTTGTCTAAAAATATGATGATGACAGATAAGTAATTTTACTCTTAATAGAATTTTTCAATAAAACTGATCATTTTGAACAAGGCGTGTTAATTAGGATAAAACCCTCTGTCCCGGCTTGGCAGGCACCCCTCCAATAGGGGTGCCCCTGTTTTCAACCCTGTCCCCAAACCAAGACAGGGAGCAGAGCTCGTGTTAATTAATGGAAAATTGATGATCAAAATGTGGTGAAAAAAATGTTAGTGATACAAATGTGACGAGTAAATATATAGAATTGTCATGCTTTAAAACCGTCATTATGAACAAGACGTGCTAATTAATGAAGATTTGATAATCTTGTGGTGAAAAAAATGTTAGTGATATGAGTGTGACAACGAGTAAATATACAGAAATGTCATGCTAATAAAATGTGATGCCCTTGTAAAAAAATATGGTTTCAATATATTTAATCGAAGGAAAATGATAGAAGGTACATCAAATTAAGCTTAGCTCTCAATTAATTTAAGATCGACTATATCAATATTTTTTACTGTTGGGTTAATTGGTAACAAATACAGTGGAGTGAATTTGCAAACATCTTATTGAAAATCCAAACACTACTCTAGCAAAGAAAGGGTTACAGAGGGAGAAAGAAAGATCAAATAAAACCTGAAAAAGCATAGAGCCTCACAAAAGATTATAGAGAATTTTCATAAATATGACTAAATTTGAAAATTCACAAATAATAATAATAATAATTCTCACTAAAGATGTTCAAAAATGTCACTTTTTGATGTGAAAGTCCATATTACCATTAGTGACACATATTTGAGCATTTAATGCTAATTAATGCTTAATTTAAATATCACTAATGCTATGATGTGATAATTTAATTTGTGTACTATAAGAGCATAAACCAATTTCTTCTACCATTAAAAAAATCCTAGTTTTCTAACCATCTCTCAATTTCTTCGTCAAGAAGATATTACTATTGGATTGATCATCCATTTTAAGATGTTAATATATTAAAAATTGTTTATATTTTTTATCTTACAACTTAATACTTTTGAAATATTAAATACAACAATGTCATATTAATTCAAAATTTTCGAAATTATTTTTCATTAATTTGTTTGAATTTTCAAATCTTTTGGAATAAAGATATCAATATCCTCTACAAAATGTTGTGAGGAATTCCATATTCAATGAAATATTGAGTTATTTATTTGGGAAGTTAATGTCAAGTAATTGAGAATTGATTATCACCTTTAGCCCCTGTCTGGGGCATATTATTTGTTTCATTAAAATGAGAATTCTAGCTATTGCATATGCAGTTGGGCTCCACACAAGATATGAGAAGTCAATAAAACCGACTAGATGTTATGGTTAACTGTCAGAATTTTCATTTTTTGTCCAATAATGTGCCTCAAACAAGGGCTTAATGTTGTGAATAATTTCTTCCGATCAAACCCAATAAATGTTTTCAAGGATTGTCGTTTTAATGATTTACTATGCAAATTACTTGGGAAGAAGATTTTGTCATTTAGTAATACAATATTCATGATCATACTTAAGTGATGAAGAATTTGTTTCAATCATCCACATATATGCTTTTCGTCAGTTCCAACAGTTCAACTGTCTAACTCGACTTGCAAAAATCGTCAGGTTAGACATTTCAACTATCGATTTTGACTTTTGCTATTGTATGGATTTAAATATTTAAATGTGCCACTTTCATGCTATTAAATGCTGATATATTGATTGTACAGAACACTTACCATTATAATCTCAACTTTTCAGGTGTGAGTAATAATTTGAGATTCATTATGTCATATGGGAAAAAAATTGTTCATGTGGGTGACAAATAAAAGTAGAGAGGGGATAGATTCACCCACACAACATAAGCGATCCAGATACGAATGTACCTTATGAATCAAAAAATGCATTTGTTGTGATAGAGTTGGTCATAATCGGATCACATGTTCCAACCCTATTGTAGCACCACTCACGTATATAAGCTTGATGTCTGAAACTGGTTGGAATTGTATTCAGCACGATCGAATGATGGTGTTGTGTATTTTTAAATTAAATTATCATTTTTCGTTTCATTATCATTTGCAAACATTAGTCGTGTAGTAATAACTTCACAGCAAAGCTTTCATATAGATAGATTAAGTCATTATATTCTGATAGTTCAACTGTCGGTCCCGACAAAATATTTCTGTTCCTAACTTGTCCATGATTTTTTTTTTTTTTTTTTGCATGTCATAATGCTGCATTATATGTTCTGCATTCATATTATCACTGAAATTGCTTTACCATTTGAAGATATTAGTCGTGTTTAAGTTCAACAAGCAAAAGATTTCATCACATCCCGAAAGTGAAACTGTAAGTCCCAACGAAGGTTTTTGTCATTGTCGATGGTTGGTTGCAAACTTGACTACAAATGAGATACATAACGATATGCTATTGCACAACATTCTGTACAGACATTACCATATAAATCCATGACAAAATTATAATAAATAATTATAGTCGATGACGTACGCAAATTTTGCCCACATCAATGGTTGTTGAATTCTTAAAGATGCATAAGCACAAATATATACAACCACCAAAATGTGTTTAAAATCGAATTCTTAGAGAATTGTCCCTATTATTGTCATTTAGTATACAATCACCAATTAATGTTAATCATAGAATTAACAAAATTATTGGGGCACTAATTCTTGACCTTCTTTCTCCTCCCATTAGTGTATGGAGTCATGGTAGATATTATAGGAAAGCGAACACATGTTGATTGCGACCTCTTTGTGTTAACTGCATCATCGCCTTCAACGAGTACAGTGGTCGCCACTGGTATGTCAGGGACATCGCTTACGCAAAAGTAGTATGTCCGAATTATTTATCCAAAATGTCAAATAATAACATAACAACATTTGTAATATTAATGGACATGTCATCGATTCCTAATTTGTATATTAAGGAATAAGATGAGAATCTACAAAAACAAAGTACAACAACAAAGCAAAAAAGTCAGATATCTGTCAAAAATTCATAACTATCAAGACTTTCATTTTGATAAATTAAACAATTCACTTAAAATATTTTAAAACAGAGGATAATACGAAAAGATATCTCAGATGCACATAAATTGTAAAAATCAACACTCCCACGTGTAGGGCAAAGAAATGAACATAAAAGAGAACAAAAAGAATATTAATGAAGGAAGAGAATAGTTGAATCTCTATCAAACATAGTGGGCTAAATTCATAAATAATTTACATAAACCCTAATGTTAACATTTTTGTAGAACTAAAAACATAGACAACAAAAATCTAAAAACTAATGCATATTGTACCAATCCAAGGAAAAATACGTGAACAACAAAAAGTAAAACCCCCCTAAATTTCGAAGAATCAGAAGTGAAGTGAGCAAAAACTGCAAAAGAAAGGAAAAAACAAATCTCAAGAGATTAATGATGGTTTTCGTCAACTGTGAACTAATTAACGGTGGTCATCGACACCAACTGACTGAATAACGGTGGTTGTCGACGAATGGGCTTTTCACGAATAGAATGCAAGAGGGGAGTGAGTTTAGTGTTAGTGAATGTTTGAATGATAAATTGGGTTGTATTTTTTGTTTGGTTTTTGGATTCACCTTTTTCAATTTTTATTTTTTGGTTAAATTTGAAAGTTGAGTTAATTGGATGTGACATTTTTTTTTCAATTTTTTTTTACAATTGTCATTTAGTCAAATCTCATTTATTGAAGAACATGTAGGATATTTAAATTATCTAAAAGGGCAAAAATGTCTAAAAATGACAATCTCGCAAGGGCTTTAAAAATGTGATATTTTTGAAAATGTAAAGCCAAAAATTGACATGTAATGCAATTTCCTCAAGAAATAGATTATATTATATCAATAAATCACTAAAAACTAGAAAAAACCAAATCTTCAAATGTTTTGAACCTCAATATTATACATAACCTATGAGTTATTAATATTATATAACACACTTATCTCCTATAGTATTATGAATGCATTTTTCATTCATCATCTTGAGGTTTTCTTGGAAGAATACCAGAGTTTTTTCTGGCAAATTAAGATCTTTTCCATCTCAACGCCACTTTCTGTATCTTCTTTGCGACATCCCCATCTCATTCCCTTAGACATGGTAGCAACAGCATCCACGAAGTAGCTAGTTTCTCGGATGATTGCATATCCATTTGGCCGGAGGATGCGATCCATCTCGAGGAGAACATACTTCATTTCACACCTGTCCAAGCAAATAAATTGCGTCAAAACAAAAATCCTTATTGATCGTATATTTTAGTATAGATAGACCTCATTACTATAGCATTGAAAACTAAAATTAAGCCCTTGTTGGATCCTCATTATTTCCAAAATACATTTTTCTCTTTTATTTTCGACCACACATTTTTCAATAAAATAATATTACATGCAAACCTAAAACTATTCCTTATGTTTTAACCACACACCTCCATCAAAACACCATTTCAAAATGCATTCTAGACCAAAAAAGAAATGGGGCTCAAACAGGCTATAAATAAATAAATGTGCCACCCCCCAATAGCTTAAACTTTTAAACAATGAGGTTCATCCTGATATACGCATTAATGAAAATTATGAACACATCAGGCTTTTAATGAAAATAATAACCCCGGGCTGGACTTATGTGACATGTTAAAGACTAAATTTAAATAAATGTGTTTTTCTCTAATAGCTTAAATTCTCATACGAGGAGATTCGACTATTAACTCGGCGGGTTATGATTGAGACCATCAGTTCCACAAACCTCAGCATCAAGTAATTTTTTTTACAGATTTTGCCAACTATACAGTTTCATTCGAAAATTTAACAAAATATGACTCTTCAATGAACAACATCTACTACTTATCAATGTAGCAATGGTCTATATTTAGATGATAATTAAAGAAATCAAGGTTCACATGCTTCTGAGAAATATTAATGCGTCATATAACTTAATAATGATGTCTTACTCTTACCTACACCCAACCCAATTTAGATAAGTCGCGAAGAAAATATTTCACCTCAATGATTTGCCAGATTTATAGATAAATAAAGGTTACAGAACATACACATAAAGCCCCTCTACTCAGCAAGAATTCAATTCCCAAAACACCCACAAAAAATGGACATTTATATTACTGTACTCTTGCATATTTCATGTGTGGGATTCAATATAAGTCTATAACACTCAGACCTATATCCTTAAACTCCCTGGCATCTGTATGATTGTGAAGCATGATAGCTTGTTTGTGTAATGTTAAACTATAGGGATGCTACTGGAGAAAACGAAGCAAACCATGAGATGGTAAAAATTGTAAATCATCCAAAAAATATACTATCAGGATAGGTATTTGATTGTCTTGCCTGTGACTTTCTGCTGTGAAGAGTCCATCTAGATGAAGAAGATCATATGTTCGAGGGTAAGTTGAGAAAGCCTCACACCTACAAAAACAAAACTAAGTGATTCAACATATATCTTCCAATCATAGAATTTAATGAAAACATTATTTTGCATTCTGTACTGTATTTACAAGTCTCGATAAAATTACCAGTCATGGTAAGCTCCTATAAGGCCCCTATCATAAACCACAGCAAGCGTATTTGCAGCATATGAAGAAACGACATTCATTACCCATAGCGGATCATCAATCAAAGCGGCCGCAAACCCTCCATACATAGTGTTCATGTCAATTACATTTCTTATCTTATCGGTCCCAATTGCAGGAAGCAACTTCTTGTAATGCTTCACCCGTAACTTCCATTTGCTATCGTCATTCTGGAAAGCACCAGAACTGCCTCCACGAACATCAGCAACACGCTCCGGAGCCTTGTGCAACCTTTCTGGCCATTTCGGGAGGGACTCTAATGCTACTCTCTTTAACTTCGGGTTTGGAACCACGACACATGGCCGAAGTGGAGTGTACCAGGCCGAATCTGGCTCTGTTCCATCATCACACTTCGGAGGGTAATTGTCAGGAGTCTCGAGCTTTTTATAGCAGCTATTGTCTGATAATTTCTGCCAAACAGCAATGTCATCCTTTTGGTTGTACAATTTGAAACACATTGAAGTTAGCGAGTCCTGTAACTTTTCATAATTTGATTTCTGCTCTTCAATGGTAGTGTTCCATCCCCTCCAGCGTCTTTTATAGTTCACTGGTGGGCCAGAGAGTGCCCAAAAGCCTCCAGGCCGCAGTATACGATGAATCTCCAGAAGGTAAATACCGCCTGAAAATGATGGAATTTTCATTAGTTAAGGTAGACGTTAGATTTCAAGAAAACCATGTCATGCAGCTATGCATACAATCCCTTATTTTAATCTATTTTGAAATGCATAACCACTTCGGTCTAGTTTTAATGATGTTAAATTCAAAACATATGCATTTAGACTCGTGTGATGAATTTAACATCATTAACACTAGATCGAAGTGGTTATGCAGTGCAAAATAGATTAAGTAAGGCAACATGATGTTTCTTTCAACAACCTTGTGTTATTCATAACCTGTACAAATTTTGATGATAATCTTAGAAAGATGTTTATAACTAAGATGATTTCCAAGTGCATCAAGAATCATAGCTTCTGTTCACATTGTTGAAAAGGGGTTTCAAACTTCATATTAAATTAAATACATTGAAGTCCTCTAGGAAGACGTTCATAAGCAAGCAAAGGAAAAAATGGAACCAGCTAATATATTATGGAGCATGGTTAGAAAAAAATTTAGCCTCTGATTGAGAGGGTAATACCAAATGCAGTCCATGGAATGAGGCATCTTGAGCAGTGTGCCATATCAAAAGAGTTTGAAGGGAAAGGAAGTCTCTGTGTTGATATGATGCCCAGAATTGCAGGAATTCCACGTTCCAGAGCAAATTGAACCTGAGCCTCATGATTATCTCTTGGAGCAAGAGAGACAGTCAGAATCCCACGGTCTAATATATAACCTCCCCAGCTGGCAACCTAAACATGTGTGTGAGAAGAAGTTCAAATCTCAAGACAAGTACATCTAAAATGTCCCGAAAAATAATAAAATAAATAAGGAGAAGTTGTATTATTTTCGGATTAAAGAACTATCTTTGTTCATGGAAACCTGTAACGATAAATAACACCTAATTCCCCAACCCCCAGTGACATGACAAAAAGATAACAGACATAATCATTATTATATGTTATAACAAGTACACTGACAATATTGGCAAGCATGCATACAGCATTACAAAATTCTAATGCAACATGTGGAAAGATGATATACAATGAAGATTCCCATATGGGATTTTGGCACTAAGATTTCTAGTTGTATTGCTCCAAAGTCAAGCCTACCCATAAATTAATAATCATATTTGAAGGCTGTTATCAAATACAAACATAAAATAACAAAGTTACACCTTAGAAAGTTTTCCTTAACTTCATAATTATGAAAACGTATTTGCTTTCCTTGAGCATTGATAGGGGCATCACCGAACCTCAAATCAATGGGATAAGGTCTCAAGGATGGTAATAAATGATATAGAGTGCAAATTACAACATAAGAATATTTTGATCTATCATGATAAGGAAAAAAATTCTTTGTATGGATGAAGTGTATCATGAAGGGGACTCACTCCACACCCAGTGTCAATAGCAGTCCGGACAGTCCCATCTGTCATTCCTGATATCAGATCTTGCATCAAATCGACATAAGGACCAACACCTTTGGGGAACGTGGTTCCCCCACCAGGGAAGAAGAACTTATCCCCCTCTTTCCTCAGCCAATGTTGATCTGATTTTTTTTTGCTTATCCAATCATAGGGGACATTCCTGAATTATGAAAGCTAAAATACATCACACAAAAATGAAAAAGAAAAAAAATCCAAACCTCTTTATAATAAAAAATGCTTTATAACATTAGGAAAATACTTATTACCTGTACCAACACTCATCTCTACTCTTAGGCCATCGTATAGGAAACTTATAGCCATCAGGTGGTGGAACTAAGCACTCTTTCTTTTCATATAACGGAGGACAATGACGCTCTAGAAAAATAAGCCGATGAATACTGTACTTCTTCCACCTCTGTAACAGTAGCACTATGTCATCCATATTATATTTTAACACAATATAGTAAAAAATTAAATCCCCAATCAAGAAAAAGACCTTAAGGTCACAATGAGATAAATCATAGAAAGTACCCTTGGATCTGTGCACGGCGTGTAATCCTGATAATCAATGCTGCATTCAGGAAAAGTTACTTCTTTAGCTTGGAGAGGACATGCAACCATTTCCTTGGAAGTTTCAATAGCCTTAGTAATGTCCTTAGCTACGTATCTGTCCTTTTCCGAACAAAACATTCCGCCAAGATAGAATGAAAACCCACATAACACAACAACTATTATTGCCATGGGGACTGTCACAAAACTTTTATCGTGTTGATGTGTGGGGTTACCATCTTTGGGATTCATGGTCTAAGAATTTATTTACTATCTGCACACGCGTTCACAAGACAAGTTGTAAATTACTGCATATGAATAAATCTATATCAATAGAGAAGAGATGTAATTCTTTTATATCCAAAATTCACAACCCATTTCTAATTAGTGGAAGAAAATGAATAAAAAAGTTAAAAGATAGCTAAGCAGGAACCTTCAAAAGTCATCTCCAAATTGTCAAAAAAAAAAAAAAAAGGTCCCAATCATAAAAAAGAAAAGTTCAATTAAGTATAGAGAAAAGCAAAAGCTTCTTGACCATTTCGATCAAATTGCTGACCCGTGCAATCACCAAATGTTAGCATCCAATAAAATGATTTATTACCAATACTTAATCCAAAAGCAATGCTCAAAGAACGAAATTATTTATAAGTTGAATGCTTAATAGTACACCACATGTAACATATATAAGTAATGCAATTACATAAACTCTTTAGCAGCAATTGATAAAATTGCAGCTTGAAGAGAAGATTCAATTCATGAAAAATGTAAATCTAGGAAGGATACAAATTACAAAAATTAGGCTAAATATGGAGAAGAAACACAGTACAAAGACAAAGAAAAACTGGGAATTATGGTTAAGATAGCCACTATGAATTAGCTTTAAGATCTGTGAAAACTATATCTCACCGTAACTAGGGACACATTACACTTTTCAAGTAACTTTCTCTTTATATTTTCCACATGATGTTGGGACCTACCCTTTATGAAATTTCCTTGTCATAATGAGGGCCCTCTTTGCCACTAAGTCGGCAAAAGTTGAGAGAAAAATGAAGCCAATTAAATAATCTCACCCAACTGAAACCATGAAAAATCCAACAAACGCACAAGAAACTTAAAGAATCTGCACAATGACATTGATATGCATATCCTAATAGAAAAAAAATGTGGAGATAATTTAATCATCCCTTAAAAGTTCTGGGAAAAAAATGTTGCTATTGAATAAATTGTGGCTGTTAGCCAACCAACTGATTCCCATTCCGAAGAAAAAAAACCAAGCACAAAGATCCAAAACAACCTCACCAAATGCATAAAAACTTCAGGCAAGATTTTCTGATATATAATTATCCCAAACAGTATATACACAGTCATAGACATATTGAGAAAGAAAGCACAAAAAACATATGCAATTTTTATATGTAAAACTATTTATATGCTTAATTTTGGCAGTATAATTGCATAAACTCCGGGACAAAGAGTGACCCATGTCCAAAATCAGATCTGATTCGAAAAATTAAAGAAATCCCATTTCCTAAGTAACCCAATTACCATTTTACTTTTTTCCTCAAAGAGATAAATCGCAATGAAGTAATGCTGATTACATAGCATAACGCAAAATGTTAAGAGAGAGACCCAGAAAACCCAAAAAAAACAAAAAAAAAACAAAAAACAAAAAAAAGTACCTTCTACAGTGTGTACCTTTATCTGTAAACACACATACAAAGTTCAGAAACGTGTATTTCTGATACAAAATTGGGTGTACTTTGTGCACACAAGTCTCCGTTTTCAAATATTGAATTAAAACAAAATCAGCTACTTTCAGGTTGGCCTTGAAGAGAGATCTTGCTGATAAAAATTTTATGAGACTGTCAGAGAAAGAATTAAAGAGAGGGGGGAGCTGAGAAGAGGAAGAGTTCGCATGGATGTAGAGATGCTTGTGAGGGCCCCACAGGGCACTTCTTCACTGCCAAAGGACGGACGCCGTCAAACCTGACAGAGCAGAGATCGTGAGTTCGAAACATGGGGCTCTTGGAAGGCAAGGATTTATTCTTGGAAGGCAAGGGAACATTTGGAAGACAATGATTTATTCTTGGAAGGCAAGTGGAAACTTGAAAGGCAAGGATTATTCTTGGAAGGCAAGGTGCAATTTGGATTGGCTTGCTTGGCACTTTGTCAGACCAGGTGGGGAGCGCTCGGACCCTGGTCAGTCGGAGGCACATCCTGCGATTAACCGGACTGTGTGAAGAGGGGCCGGATCACAGACCCAAGGATTAGTCAAGAATTGGACCCCTTGTAAAAAAAAAAAAAAAAAAAAGAGATGCTTGTGAGGCCCCGGGCCATACGCTAGTGGTGCAAACGACGGGACGGAGCTTATTTTAAGCCTTGTTGATAATTTCGGTATGGGGTTCGATTTCTAAAATATGAAGTTGGACTCTTTGTAGGTGTAGTGTACAAATAGTTCTTGTTCCCTATCTCGTTGAAGCACATCTCGCGATTTACCTCCCTCACAAAGTTCTAGAAATTGGATGGGGCCATGAAGGTCCTCAAGATTGGGGTTCAACCTTTTTTTTTTTTTTTCTTTTTTTTTTTGGGTAAGAGATGCTGGTGAGTGTTTGTTCTTTAAATAAAGAAACAAAAGTAGAAATAATAAAGAGATATAAACAAGTAGGTCCCTCCATTATAACAATTTATTTAATTTCACCCCTTTCTTTACGCTACTTATATACGCTTTTTTAAAGAGCGTTTTCAGTGTTTAGGTGAATTCTTAAAGAAAATTTGTCGCATGAGCCGAAAATTAAATTAAAAAAATATAGAAAAGTTTTGTCCATATTCAAAATCTTTGTTGACCAAATGACTTAAGATTTATACTTTTTTCTTTTATGCATCGTTAGTTGAGAGAAAATGTAATTGTAGCATTTGGGTCCTAAATGAACTAATAAAAAGGTTAAATATTAAGTCCCGTTTGAGTCCTATTTTAGTAATAATATGTATCTTGAAACAGTATATAGACTAAATTAACACGTGATATCTATTAATTACATGTCATTAAAAATTTCCGTGGAGTGACGAGCATGGGAAAAGAGGTGCAACCACACCGATGAAGGCTTTAAGGAAAAGAATGAAAGAGTTAGAGAAAGAGTTTTAGAGCGGAAAACAAAATAATATATTAACGATGTGACGGAAGATTTTACAAAAATTATGTCTTTAGTTTAGTTTTTATTTGAACCCATTTTCTGGGTTCGTAATATGGTCTTTTGGAGAATGTGTGGATTAAATATACGGAAAAAAATTTAAATTTGTGTCTAAAATCATTTTACTGAAAGAATGTGTAACTGAAAATGAATTTGAGAAAAAATAATTTTTTAAAGATTGAGATTCAAACATAAGCTTTCTCTTCGAAACTTTCTTCCTTTCTCTTAATTTCATATGATAGGAGAAGGATTTCTACCGCGGAAATATTTAAAAAACTAAAAACAAGACTTATGGATTTCATTTTTTCGCTACTTCTCTTCCCTTTTTTTTTCTTTTTTCTTTTTTTTTTTTTTTGGTTTTTTGTTTTTTTTTTTCAATTTTTTTTTTTTTTTTTTTTTTTTTTTTTTTTATTCTCAACTTCATTATTTAGCCCTTATTTTGTTTCTATTTTTTCTCATTAAAATGAAAAATATGACCATCATTCATCACATCAAATTACCAAATTTGAATTTTTATCTCTTGTATGAAATTCGTAACGACTATATTTTTTATTCTCATTCTTCCAAAAATGAGAAACAAACGAGAGCTTAATATTTAGTACAAAGATATCGTCATGTAGAAAGATATTCCTTGTTTCAATTTACAATGGTCGAGGGTGGAACCCACACCTTTTTCCCATTCATCCTAGAATTTAATACTGATTAATTTGCCGTACTCTTTCATTTATTGGTGTTGCGGCAAAGGTGGTTGAATACTTTGTTTTAGCAATCAAAATGTTTATTTATTTATTTATTTCGAATTTCCACAACTGCATAGCTGATAGCAATTGAAAATCGATGAAATAGTAAACTTATCAATGTTAAAGTATAATCATAGTATACATTCATACTCAAATTTAGATGGAACACATGTCGATACATAATTTGATAGTTTGAAAAATTAAAACAAAAACGTCCAATTATTTTTTGACACATCAATTTGTCTCTTCACTCCCTCTTTTTAAACCTGATTAAATGGCTTTATTCGCTAAAATATGAGATGAAATTATGCCGAGAGATTAAATTATTATCCACATATTAATGCAAGAAAGTTTACACCTAGTGATGATATCTCGGTTAATCGGTATCAATATCTTGGCATTTAGGCCCCTTTTGATTTCTATTCTTTGGTCACAAAAATGAAAAATATGACCGTTATTCATTATATCAAACAATCATATTTGACTTTTTATATTTTGTGTGGGATCCATAACGACAATATTTCTCATTCTCATTCTTATGAAAATGGAAATCAAACGGGGGTTTAGTTTATCATCTGAACTAGATTTCAATTATAAAGTGAAAATTATTTATAACTCTGAAAGAAATAAAAAGGATAAAATTAAATAATAAAATATTTTATATTGGTTTAAACACAAAAGGAAAAAAAAAGAAAAAATGGTCATTATCAATTGTCATTCACGAAATTCGATTTGGGGAAGAAAAGGAAATGAACTGGATTCTCATTCCCAGAATTTTCTATGGTCAAAATGAAATGGTCGATTCTACTTTTAAAACGCTAATCATCAATTATACAATTTTTATTCTTAATATATATTTTGTCATAAACTCTAATGAACAAGATTTTAACTTATTTTCTTCATTAATTCAATTGTTAATAAAATTGAGCCCTGTTTGTCTCCCATTATTTAAAAATATTTTTCTACAGATTCATTTTCAATCACATATTTACAAAATAAAATATTTTATACGTAAATTCAATTTTTTTTTCCTACTTTTGAATCATAATTTTTTTTTTTTGCCAAAAAATCACTATTTAAAACAATGTTTTTCCAAAAAAAGGACCACCAAACAAGGACTAAGTGTCATTGCTAATGGGACGAGGGGCGGGAGGGGGTAGAAGGGATTATGTGCTTGTTTGGGAAAACATAAAAATCGTTAAAAAAAAGTTAAGATCAAAGCTAACAAATAATTTTAATCAAACATTTCATGATGCCCGCACAAATTAATTTAATCAATTTTTATTTTAAAAAAAAGTTAAAAAATTTATGAAAAACTTTTTCAAAATAACCCATAAAGTGAAAGCAAATGCGTGGTTAGCCCGCAATACTCATTAAAAGTAATTATGGCTTTTGTTCACTAACAAACAAGCTTTGCTTCCAATCTTCAACGAATTAGTTGTTTGCTCAATAAATCGGAGAAGAAATGAATGCCTCAAGTCACATCAGAAACAATAATTTTTCAGTATAATTATTATTTATATTTTATATTGAGTGAAAACAAATGATGTCAAATTTTCGTATATGTATGTGTGCACCTCTTTATTTTTTTTATTTTTTTTTTATTATTTTTTTAATGCAATTTTAATACAGATAGTGCCAATTTGTTGAAATATGTTTAGAGCTTTGCTTTATGAACATAGGTTGGCATTTCTGTATACAATCTCTTCACAAGAAGGGAGCCACGATCTTGTGAGGGGGGCGGGTACAAGAAGCAAAACCCACATTTTTAACACTGGTGTTGTGTTTTGATGGGTAAAATATTTTTAACCCGATCTAAATATGTAATATAAGTAAAATTTCAATTTATTCTTCTTTTTTAATACTATTAAAAACTATCTGATCAACGTTGTCAAACGCACTAAGCCCCCATTTGGTTTCAATTATTATGTATTATAGCATTTGGAATTGTGTTTATGTGAAGAATGTGTGATTAAAAAAGGAAAAAAAAATTCGATTTATGTGTAATATCATTTTTTAGGAAATTGTATAATTAAAAATAAGATAGAAAAATTATAATGTAAAATAATGGAGGTCACACGGCGACTAGGTATGCACACAATACAGCTCAATTTAGTTTATTAATAGTAATAGGCTCTTGAAAGTTGAAACATCAACACATCTTCTTAAAACCCTTAGCTCCCGTTTGTCCCCTTTAAAACTTTTTAATTTAATTTTTTTCTCTCATACTTTCAACCACACAATCTTCAATAAAATAATATTACACTCATATCGAAAACTTTTCAACCACACAATCTTCAAAAAAAATATTATTCTCTTATTATAAATTCAAATAATGATGGCCAAACGGGGCCTTATATTTGTTTTAGTACCTTACAAATGAGGCAACATAATGTATGTCACATTTATATGTCATTGAATTGAACTTCAACATTGTTTGCTCATGTACCTATCTTAACCAACACGAGCAGAAAAGGTGGTTACATGTGTGCGTGTGTGTATATATATATTATTTATTTATTTATTTTTATTTTTTTCCCCTTCCCCCCTTCGTGATCAGCTCGTTAAGGAAATTCGTGATCAGTCCGTGAAGGAAAACAGATGAACAAGAAAATCTCGACTATCTGCATTTATCAAAAATTGTGGTGGCGTTCTTGATGGAACTGGAACTTCAGAGCCTGCTAATAATGAGCCTGAATAGTTTCGATTACACGAAGTTTCCTCTTCATCAGCTACATGTTCGTGTTGCCCGACTGTAAGCAAATGCAAGAAAACAATATTACACAGGATTCATACAGAATAAGAGACAGTAAAAACCAGTAGCAGCATTGAAGATACTGAAATAGATTCCACTAGGACTAATAAAGATGAAATTAGTTTTATTGTGTTTGAAATGTAAAACTAAATGCATAAGCATATTTATTTACCAAACCTAATTCATCCAATAAACCTTAAAACTTTTCGTGACCACAATCAAATCCAAAAGTGTAGT